GAGTTGTTGTTATTCAGCCTGTTCTATCTTTTTTAACTTTGAGCACCCGCCCCTTAAAAACGTCTCTGCATGGCCCTGTTGGTGATCCATGTTCAGCACCTTTTCCAAATAGAAAAGCAGCAAGGTGACTACTTGGACTTAAACTCTGAGAGCGTAACCCCTTGCACTACTAAATATGGACTTTATGGGGTTTTGAATAAACAAAGACAAGGGAGTGCCACGTTCCACCTGCCTTTCCAAATACAAAGAGCAGTAAAAGCACGAGCAGCTTGTAGCTGTGAAATGAATACAATCACTCAGTGTTCATAAACCACCTCCCAGGAAGACACTCACTACGCCTGGCAAGTGAGGTCTTCAAAAGAGACTGACATATAGAAAAATATTTCCAAAGAACTTGCTTAGGTGTCTTTACCACCCAAGAGTAAAACCTCTTCATGCAACTTCGGTCCAGACACTTCATATATTCACTTTTGACAGTTTTTCACACCTGCTTTGCTGCACTCACTAAACGCATCTGTGGAAAATTTCCATTTCTTCTATCGTCAACAATGATCCTTATGTCTTTAGCATATTGTCATGGGGGTTAATACAGAGGCTTTAATTAAGGCATAAAGCTGAAAGAAATATAGCTAGCAGCTTTGTTTTGAGCAGGGGTGCCCAACTCCAGTCCTGGGGGGCCGGAGCCCTGTGTAGCTTAGTTCTTTCCCTGTTCCACCATAAATGATTCAGATCAAGAGCTGTGTGGTAATTAGCACAAGGAGTTGAATCAGGTGTGTTAAATGAGGGGAAACCCAAAAATGTGCAGGGTTCCGGCCCCCCAGGACTGGAGTTGGGCACCCCTGGTTTAGGGGAACACAGAGCCACTGTGTCTGGACACACCGCCATCTTGGCTCATTGACGGCTGTTAGCTTTGGTTAAGGGGAACACAGAGCCACTGTCTGAACGTGCCACCATCTTGGCTCATTGTAAGGAGATACATCACCTGCAGTTCAAACTAGGTAATCCATCTGAAGCTAAGCAGATTTGCGCCTGGCCAGTACTTGGATGGCAGACCAACTAGGAAAGCATGGTTGCTGCTGGCAGAGATGCTGGTGTGGCCAGCAGGGGAGCTTATCCTGTGAGGATCCCAGTGCAGTGATGGAGACACTGTGTGGTAAAAGTGGCACTCGAGATGTAAAACCAAGGTCCTGACTTTCTGAGGTCATAAATGATCCCTGGGCATCTTGAAAAAGAACAGGGGTGGTGCCCTGATACCCAGGCTAAAGTGCCTATTGTGACCCTTTCAAATCTGGCCTCCTAATCATCCCTTACATCTAACTGGTGAATTCTCTGTGGCCCTTTCACTACCAGATAGATGCTATGCAGTGCTGATTAAAATGGCTCTCCATTGGTTCTGTGAAGCACTTTGGGTGTCTTGAAAAGTGTTATATAAATGTTAATCCATTAACTGATATTTTTCAATCATATACTGTGACAACACTGTTTACAAAGCTTCTAAATTGAATATATGATTGCACTACTGCACTTTAGTTCACTCTTCAACTATATATTATTTATATATAATATGTGACATTGCCAGAGAAAGCACACAAGGTTTGAATGTTCATGTACAATAAAAATATAGATATTATATTCTATAGCTAAGAAGTAAAACCACTGCATTTCTGGCATGAGAGGCAGTAGCACCCTATTTAATGAGTGATGCCTTTGTGAAAGAATGCTGTCCATGACATGGAAATACTAGACAGCAATACGCTTGTGCCAGTCTGCTGGAGCTGCACGCAGTCGCTGCGGCCTACCTCCTCCACTGCGAAGAGTTTGACGATGTTGACGTGGTTGAGCTTCCTCAGCATGTCAAACTCCCGCATCTGCACCTCATATGGCCGGCTGTAGCTCACATTGTTGAAGACCTTCACTGCGACCAGCTCCCCCGTTTTCTGAAGAGCAAGGGACAGAAGGGACTGGCTCAGTCACTGAAATCAAGGGCAAAGTGATGCAATCAGCAGTGGACGCAGTGTACTCCTGCGTCTGCAGTGCAGTAGACACAGTGTACTCCTGTGTTTGCAGTGCAGTAGACACAGTGTACTCCTGGGTTTGCAGTGCAGTAGACACAGTGTACTCCTGCATTTGCAGTGCTGTACCTTACTGCGGGCCTTGTAAACACTGGCCGTTGCTCCTTGTCCCAGGACATCCTCCACAGACCAGAGGTAGTTAGCTGTACTCTCCAGCATTTCAGCACTGCATAAAAGAGCTTGACTACAGTGAGAAAATATGGTGAAAACCAACATTAACCAAAGAATTAGCACATAATGGAGACATCATTTCCATGTACAAATAAACAATTAGCACTAGTTACGTTGTGGTATAAATTGTTTGGTATATGACTTGCCATGAAATTAAAGGTATTGACCATTTTTGTCATTTTTATACACAGTTTCATAGACACATAAATAAACATAAGAATGAGCTCCTGACATCTGAATTTCTTAGTAGTTAAAAATCAATAAGATGCTTGAACAGACGTCCCCTAATGAGAGGTATTGATACTCTGAAGAGATATTGTGTACTGCTGAGTTGGACAGAGCGAGTACAATCACAACAATCACAACACTACATTTTGCATAAATAATTTTTCCACCTAATGTCTCTTCCACTCGTCTAGTATTAAAATCAGGGTGAATAATTTCTGTAAATTGTTCATATTTTTTAAGTGTTTAAAACAAGGTGTACTTTTGATACATCTGTCCTCGTGCATATGACAGGTCCCTTAGTTACAATGTAAACAAACCTGTAATACTATCAAGTGAATTCTTTGTTGCACTATTCAGTAATTTTGCTATTAGTTGACGAACCCTTCTTTGAAAATCAGTCACAAGTGTTTGCAATATTCTTCAAGGATATTATAGGTCAGGGTAAACTATTTAATAGAAATCATGTTTGCATTTTCCTGGGTTTATTAACTGAACACATGAGCTAGCTAATTTCGCTGGCCTCTGAAGCGTTTTCAGCGTGACTACGGCTGTAGCACCGTGTTACAGCAGTTCGCCCCCCAACAGCGAGCACATTTACCTGGATTTCGCGACAACGCTTAAATACTGCTGGCTTTCAGTACACGCCGTCTTCAGATGAATGATTATGACAACGCGCGTTTCTGCCGAGTAAGATCAAAATTATGCTCATAAAGAAGGCAGGTTCATGAAGTGAGAAACGTTAAAAAATACTTGTATCGATATCTTCGGAGGGGAGCTGTGGATCTTGTTTAAAATCCAGCATGTTGGAGCTGCCCCAGTGTAACCAGGCAAGCAGTACTCGATTACGTCAAGCAGTCGATTACATCCTTATAATCGTAACTGAGCAAGTATTGTTTATAGTAAACTACGCAACAAAGATATTTAACTCCATAACACTGCTACATATTTACTCCAGCAAGGGAACACTTACGCTCTATATTATACAACCCAAGTTTAAACACCTTGATTTTAGATAGGGGCGCTTACCTTTACACGCTGTTAAAACGCTTCTCTGCTCGCCTCTGTCCTTCTTCAGAAAGTTATAAGTTTACATGCAGGTCAGAGGAAACTGACTAATTCCTGCCAGACAAATAAGTGAGATCTTAAAAGGCGCTAATCCGCCATCGGTGACGCAAATGGCATAAATATATTTCCCATCTTCAGCTTGTTTACTGTAGCCGCAAAACATGGCAGCAAAGACGAAGCATTGTCTTAACTTCGGTTTTTTTATGAGGAAGTAAAGGTGGGGCAATATTTTGCTTTTCGGATTTCCTGGATGTTCACATAATATCATCTTACATTTCATATGTGCCTGCTCATTTTTACAATTGCGGTGTAAGTTTACTATTATTATATTGCGTCGTGTTACCGTTCAGTCGTTTAAATCTGGTTTCAGTACTATGTTGCACAGAAAGGTATATGATAGTTTTTAAAATAGATCGACTGTTAGGCCTAGTAATATTAGCAGTACAATGTCTCCATTCAACATTAGATTCGCCCTGCATTGTCCTTTGCCACGCGACCGTGATCTAAATTGCGTAATAAATTAAATTATGTTGCCAATGCAAAGTGATCCAATGCAAAAACAGAATGATAATGGTTCCTGTGTATAAGGTTAATACGGGCAATATTTAGAGTACGCTAGCTGCCACTATACGTATGACTGATGTGTATTATATGAAAAAAAAAATGTGAATATCCTGCTTTGCTTCCGTTAAGCCTCGTCGATTAGCCGAAACCGTGAAATCAGCCGTCGGAGATTTTAAACACAATGACCCGTCAACATAACGGGGCATGATTCAGAGGAACACATTCTGCCATGGATGCTGTGTATGGCTACGATGCAGGCTAACGACCGTAAGGGTGTCGTTTTGACGTTACAGGGAGCTGCAATGAAGTGCAGTGGGCTTTAAAGAGAGTAAAAGCACAACAAAGTTTAATGCGGACCACGACTATCATGGATCAACCAAAATGATTATAAAGCTGCAATGACTTGGTTGTTACACACAAAGCTCTTAAAAACCTAGCAACATTTTTACTGAGGACCTACAGTGCATAGTGTTTCACATGATCCAGCTTATAGCACAATGGTGCAGTGTGATATCATAAAATCACGCTTACGGGGCAGCTGCACAAAGCCCCAAATCTGGCGTGTGACCGCGGTGTTTGATATGTGATCATCAGATGACCCTCCGGCCGACAGGGGTGTCAAACAGGCGAATGCGTTATGCACTGGCTATTCACGGTGTACTCTCATGAAGAGATCAATCCATGGAGAGCAAACATGTTTTTTCTTTAGACCGGGGGTAAATAAATACATCTCGATTAAAAAAATTAATACTTTTAGATTTTTGCAGTACTCCCCAAGTTCATACAGCCTGTCGGAAATTTACTGGTGTTTTCCAATACTTGGCCTATTATTAGTATTATGTTAACAAATAAAACGCGATCTAGACCTACTGCTTTGTCCTGTCTAAGTAACAATTTTGTTAATCACAAATGATTATTTCTATAATGATTATCTGTGACAGTGCTTACCGGTAAACACGCACACTGCGACAAGGCAATCAGGAGATGCATTGAGCGTTTTGAATATTCATAAGGCGACCTTTGACAAAGGATTACATCCAGCCATAAAGTGTATGTATACGTATATATACACACGCAAGCTCACTCTTCATCTCATCATCCGCCCTTTCCTTACTTTCTGCTCCTGAGCTAAATAAGATTTTAAACTTTGAAAATGAGGGACCGACAGCTGAAGTAACTTTCGGTTTTCGCTACGGACTTCCTACTTCAGTAAGTCAGAAATTTTTAAAGAGAAATGCAAAGCATTACTCACTATAATGCATAACCATGACACCCCGCGGATATAGAACGTCTAATATGACATAAGAATCCAGCAATGGAATCTAAAGTTAAAATGTGCATAATTATTTATTTGCCTAGAGAATTGAGAAATAGGTTCCCAGCTAACAAGCGACGTCACCGTGACGTTTTTGGACGTCTGAGTTTGGTCCGCCAGGTAACGTTTCATTCACAACGTTAGGCGGACGTCCGATTTTAGTCCGCCAGGTAACGTTTTATTCACAACTTTAGGCGGACATCCGATTTTGGTCCGCCCGGGAACGTTTCATTCACAACGTTAGGCGGACGTCCGATATTAGTCTTTGAATCCTTGAAATGTATTTGATCGTTTTCCTGACAGCTATCTTTTTACACAGAGCCACTATACACAATAGTTTATTTTTTTTCACTGCTAACAGGTTGGATCAGGAGTTCTTTATTGTAAAAGAAGTAATGTACGTGAATGCGGTGATATTTCTATAGCTTTATCTGCACCCTTCTGGCAGTTCGCACACTACGACAAGAAGTTCTCCGACTTGGCTGCAGTCAGTTTATATTCCACTCCTGCAGCCGCAGGCAGATCTCGCTCCATGTCACATCAGCTGCAGACCGTCCAATAGTGATGGGTCGTTCTTGAACGATTCGTTCATTTTGAACGAATCTTTAATGTGACTCGGGAAGAACGAGTCGTCTCGTGGGAGTGATTCGTTCAGTCGCGGATGCGCATTTGCGCAACTTCCTATAGTTTCTGTATTGGAATTATTGATTCACCTGTTTCCAGTCTTCGGGTTTTTCGAGTCGTTTGTTCATCACGTGACAGCCCCATAAGCTTAACCTAGTATGCAGTCTGAGCCGGAAACAGAATTGATTAGTTCATCTCTCGAGTCTTCGGGTTTGAGTCATTCGTTCATCACATGACAACCCCATAAGCTTAACCTATGCAGTCTGAGCCGGAAACAAATTAGTTTAAGTTATCATAACCGTAATATTTTAAAATATAAAAAACAGACATATAAAGACCCTGTAAACATGAGTCATGCAATCAAATTAGATAACTTTGACATGACATGTTTTAAGCAAAACTGAAGTACACTTATGATCAGACAAAACAGGCAGTATTTCTTACATATTTACATCAGGTGACGTGTGTGTGTGTGTGTGTGTGTGTGTGTGTGTGTGTGTGTTTTGCAAATACTGTAGCTGCATGCAGTAAAGTTCATCCTGAAGCAACCAACCTCACCATGGATAATTCAATTGCAGTGACACTAAAGCACTGTCCACGCCATGGATCTCGGAAGGTATGGAGCTGTTTTTATATTGTTAGTGGTCTAGTGGTTAGGATGCTCACCTCTGAACCAAGAGATCATGGGTTTGAGTCACACGTCTGGCACTACTGTCATTGGCTCCCTGAGCAAGAGTCTTAACCCCAATTTGCTTCAGGTAGACTGTCCCTGAATTTAGAAAATGAAAGTCACACTGGATAAGAGCATCTGCTAAATGCTGTAAGTGTAAATGATTATCTTAACACTGAATAGTTACATAAATGTCACTAAGACATATGTGTGTTCTTATATGCATGGTTCATAACACCTATCCCACTCATACCATACAAGGTTATCTAACGAATGTATTCAGTTTTAGAGGTAAACTACTGTATGGTCTTCTGTAACTATTTCTTCTGTGTTCTCCTAGGATGATGCTGCAGTGAGACATTGGAGCAGGGACCTGAAACGGATGAATTTGCTTGTTAATGTTGACTTTAATATTTAATAACAACATTATAATGTTATTAAAGTTTTTGATGTTAATAAAGTGAGATGACTGAAATATGGAATAAATGCATTATTCATATTTAAATATACATAAATTAATAAATCATTTGGAAATGTCCTACAAAAGACAATAGCTGTTTCTGAAATAGCATGGTAACATTTTGAAGATGTGGTGAGGACGTCGGAAATAACGTCTGTCCTGTACCGAGGACCCTACAAAATAACATCCATGTCAGTCCTGTCCGTCCTGCCAGTCCTGCCCTGCTCGTCTGTCCAGCCCTGCTCGTCCGTGTATGAGGCGGCACCACCTGCAGCCACCCCACCC